GTTGATAAAGGTTAATTTAGTGCCACAGTGTGAAAGTGAAGCCGACTATTCTAGTGTTGGCCCTTCGTCCTTGCTCTGACAAAGGGATAACGCTTGAATGTCAGGTTCACAAACTTGTTGCGGTGGTAATCCTTTAACAACTTGCTGTTGATAAAAAGAACTATGCGGTTAAAAAAAAAGATAAAAAGACATTCCTCTAGTCCAAAAAAAACTTTCGTATTCCTTACAACAGACTTTCTCCATAATATAACTGGACAATAACAATAAGTAATTTCCAATTTATGTTATGCCGGTAATTCAAATGATCTGCTATTAATCTGTTATAACTTACATCTAAAAACAGAGGAACTAATGACCAATCAATGAAAATCGTGATTGAAAATCTGGCCATCAATCAATGTCAATCAGTAACTGTCAAATTTCCCTAAGAAATAAACCGAAGCGTTGAGGGCTTCCTTGGCTTCCCCTCCTCCACTAACCGCATTTTACAAATTTTTCCCTCTTTTAGTGATCTTCAAGAGACAATCCTCATTTAACCCTTAACGGTTAACAAAAATGACATAAAAAAAGAAGATTTCATACTTGCAGTTTTTCACTTCTGTAGTTTTGAATATATTTTCAAGAGCGCCTTCACGTTTGATCTGTCCATTGACCTAATGATGTAAACACATTTGGCACTAACAGTAAGGCATATATTTTTATTATTTCAGAACTATGGCTGATTTGAACGTACGCAGTACTCCATTCATCTCACACTGTGAAATATTTACGACTTTAACAACCTTATAATTACTTATCAATCATTTGCCAATTCACGATATTCTGCTCAACCTCGTCCAATAATTGTTAAATGTCTTTAATGTCACTTCTATAATGGGGCGAATTGGTAGGGGTCGCTTTATATTTGATAGAGGGCACTAAATCAAACCATTACGGTATAGTGCATACACTTAAACATTTTAGGTGTATGATCAGTTAGCTGAAACAAAAAGAAATGGTTACAAGAAAGTTCGAATTTAAGCTGGAGGCCAAAGTAAAAATGCCATATCTAACGAAATAGCAGTTAATTCGACAATCTGATAAGAATTTCTAAGTAGTAGTTAATTGGTGAGTAAAAGAGATTTACATTTTACATACCATTTCACCTATCTGTTCGCAGATGTCTGAAGGGTTATCGTCACAACCCTTGTTTGTAACGGTTAACTTTATTAGAATGGTCTTAGCTCCCACAACTAAACGGAAAAACAAGTGCTAATATCACGTTAAAGTATTCAGCAGAACTAAACCGTTCAACCGCTGAAAAAAGAGAGAAGGAAGGAAAGAAGTAGACAGCGTGGGAGGGAAAGAAGGACGAAACAAATGGTCACAGATGGATGACGGGAAGTACCCACTAATGAACAGAATTCAAAGGAGAGTGCAGAATACAGTGCTCTCGGCCGCATAAGCTTTGAACATCGACATTAGTTGTTTTGCTTTTAAAAACAAACCCAATCACAATGCTTATCGAATAATGAAAGGAACGGTTTCTCAGTTTACGAGATATGTAAACAGTAAGGAGCGCTGCTTGAGGCATCAAAGCTGCGATCGAAATTGTAACTTATCGCCATAGAGGCTACAGGGACACTTGAAGAGTTTCCATTCCGCAAAGCTTTAGAGCACAGAGCAAATATGAAAGACCTCATTATTCCTCTTTACGTGCTTCAACTTTCCTGTTTAACATCCCTAAAAGATAAAAGTGTTCCAAGTTGTCCTCGAACCCTAATCAGAAACCAGGAGATGATTTTTGTTGTAATACATGGATGTTAACTTACCAACAATGACGCTGACAGTAGCATTGCCTCCTGTACCGACTGTGTTTACAGGAACACAAGTGTACACTCCATCTGCTNATGGAAACTTTATTATAAAATCTGATAAGAAACTCTAAGTAGTAGTTTAATAATTGGTGAGTAAAAGAGATTTACATTTTACTTAGCATTTCACCTATCTGTTCGCAGGTGTCTGAAGTGTTATCGTCACAGCCCTCTTTTGTAACAGTTAACTTTATTAAAATGGCTTTAGCTACCACAGCTAAGCGGAAAAAGAAGTGCTAATATCACGTTAAAGTATTCAACAGAACTAAACCGTTCAATCGCTGAAAAAAGAGAGAAGGAAGAAAGGAAGTAGACAGGGCGGGAGGGAAAGAAGGACGAAACAAATGGTCACAGATGGATGACGGGAAGGACCAACTAATGAACAGAGTTCCAAGGAGAATGCAGAATACAGTGCACTCGGCCGCATAAGCTTTGAACATCGCCATTAGTTGTTTTGCTTTTAAAAACAAAACCAATTACAATACATGTCGAATAATGAAAAGACAGGCTTCTCAGCTTACGAGATATGTAAAGAGTAAGGAGCGCTGCTTGACGCATCAAAGTTGTGATCAAAGTTGTAACTTGGCGCCATAAAGTCTACAGGGACACTTGAAGAGTTTCCATTCCGCAAAGCTTTAGAACATATTGGGCAAATACGAAAGGCCTCATCGTTCCTCTTTACGTGCTTTAACTTTCCTTTTTAACATTCCTAAAAGATAAAAGTGTTCCAAGTTGTCCTCGAACCCTAGTGAGAAAACAGGAGATAATTTTTCTTGTATAACATAGATGTTAGCCTACCAACAGTGACGCTGACAGTAGCATTGTATCCTGTGCCAACCGTGTTGATAGGAACACAAGTGTTCACTCCATCTCATATTACTATGACATTAAACACACCTGAGGCACTGTTACCAATAGACTTGCCATTAAAGTAGAAATGATACTCAGCTTCAGGACTGGCGTCTGTTTCGCAATTCAAAGACATAATACTGTCACGAGGTAATGTAGTGTTATTAGAAACTGTAGTGAGGGCTGTTGCATCAGGTGCAGCTGCAAAAAGGAAAACATTAACTTTATTAGACATCATTCATTAATGAGTGTTAATGCATTTTGGCATACTTGTTACATATTAGGGAAGTCTCACTGGAATTTGGTCTGTGCAACTAGAACGCAAAAATAAACTGTAACTTGATCTTTAAGATCGTGGCAGCAATAGAGATCCATAATCTCATAAACATATTATCTTTAATTGAAAAGGAGCTGTGTTTTCTTAGTTTCAGTAGTATATAGTCCTATTGGGAAAATGCCAGAGTTGTTCTGTGCATCTTAAACATAAAAATATAATGTATTTGTCTTTTAGAACGTACAGCAATAAAGATTATTAGGAAATTCATTTAAAAAGGTGTATAAGCAAGATATTTGTAATTACAAAGGTGTTGCGTTTGTTTTGTCACAGCTACGACAGCGCTCATTAGTTCATTCAACAATATTGATTTCTTTAAATTTTTATACGGAGAAATCTTGTGAGGAAATGAATCATCCAGTAATACCCAGGATTATAGGTAGATTCAGTTCGAATGACGATAGTCAACTACAGAAAGAAGATAGCAATTATATTACATACTTACATAACACTGTAATAGTCATAACTTCTGTAGGTCCGTCACCAAAGTCATTGAACGGAGTGCAACGATAGTTCACCTGCTTCACTCTTTTATTGAAAGACGTTGTGATCACCGAGACGTCACTGCCAGTTGTGTCATTAACAAAATTGTCGTGGTCTTTGTAGAATCGATACTTTGCAGGTGGATTGGCCTTTGAACTGCACGTGATGCTGAAGGGTGCATTCACTACAACTGACTTGTCGCTCAAAGAAATCTTCAGATTTGTGTCTATATGTCGATAGTTTAAACTCAAAGAGAAAAAATGTGTCACTTATGTACACGTAACTTATGCCACCCTGTAGAAATGTCATGTGGTTCAATTTGAAGTTTAACAGTAAGTGTACTTTCATTTCGGTTATATAAACCGTGAACTAAAAGGGAAAATAGTTCAAATAAGAGGGCAGATAACCAAACGTGATGAGTCAGCATTAAACATAAGAAAAACCATAATTACATAATTACATAATCAACATAATAGCAGGAAATGTTGCTTTTTTATCGACTTGGGGCCAGAGGAGAACACATCTAGGGACGAAGTCAATTATACTGTGCGCAAGATTACAGTGTAATCAAAACACCAGATTGTAACGTTTTCGCTCTGTGAAAATGTGAAAAGGGTCGCAGATTTTATGATGATGTTAACCTTTCAACTCGACCAGTGGACCTCGAAATAGACAGGCTTAATTTTAGGTCAAGGTAAACAAAAACCATTGCAAAAGGTAGATGGTTAGAAATAACCGAGTTCGAATAAGCGGAGTCCAATCGCGTCTCGTTACTTTTCTAGCTAGACGTATGTGACATACATCAAGGAGCGCTTTTTGGCACTTAAAATAGTTACAGGTAAGAAACCAACGCAATAATTTGGGGTGTCTAGTCTACAGAGTTCATGTAAATAAATAATAGTGGATTTATCAGGAGGATGTGCACACCTCTGATCCCTTTAAAAAATTAGGTAAGTATTGCGCACATGAATCTTCAAGCAATGATTTTGTTAAGCTGCCTTCACACGGCAAACTTAAGTTGGCAAACAAATGTTGACAAACTTCAAAAAGTTAGCAAACTCGTCCCTTCACACGTTAAACTCGCGTCAAATCACAACACACGGTAATTTGCAACATGGCCGACTTG